ATCAAAAACTGAAAAGACGACTTTTGCGACAGGCGGCGGAGGAGCACGGACCGCCATGAAGGCCTCGGGCACGCTCCGGGAGTACAAGGTGGTGGGGCGCTGTCTGCCCACCCCGAAGTGCCACACGCCACCCCTGTACCGAATGCGCATCTTCGCCCCCATCCATGTGGTGGCCAAGTCCCGCTTCTGGTACTTCGTGTTGCAACTGAAGAAGATGAAGAACTCCTCGGGGGAGATCGTGTACTGCGGGCAGGTATTTGAGAAGTCGCCGCGGCGTGTGAAGAACTTCGGCATCTGGCTGCGCTATGCCTCCCGCAGCGGCACACATAACATGTACCGAGAGTACCGGGAGCTGACCACTGCGGGTGCCGTCACACAGTGCTACCGAGACATGGGTGCCCGGCACCGAGCCCGCGCACACTCCATCCAGATCATGAAGGTGGAAGAAATTGCTGCGGGCAAGTGCCGCCGTCCGTCCCAAGCAGTTCCACGACTCCAAGATCAAGTTCCCGTTGCCACACCGTGTGTTGCGGCGCCAGCACCAGCCTCGCTTCATCACCAAGAGGCCTAACACGTTCTTCTAGACCCGGAGATCCACAGAATAAAACTCCAGAGAGTCTTAAAAAAAAAACAAAAACAAAAACTGAAAAGACGAAATAGATTGTGGTGATGGACATACACCTCCATGAAAAAGGCTAGTCTAGTCATTGGCCGGGCAGTGGTGGCGCACGCCTTTAATCCCAGCACTCGGGAGGCAGAGCCAGGCGGATCTCTGTGAGTTCAAGGCCAGCCTGGACTACCAAGTGAGTTCCAGGAAAGGCGCAAAGCTACACAGAGAAACCCTGTCTCGAAAAACCAAAAAAAAAACCCTGTCTCGAAAAACCAAAAAAAAAAAAAAAAAAAAAGGCTAGTCATTACTGACTTGTATGCTTTAAATAAGTGAACTGTATTTCAATACAGCTGTTAACAAAACATCTGATTACCCGAGAGAAGGAAATGGAGCATCTATTGGGTATTTCTGAGCCTTCAGTGTCCTAATTATCCATACATACAAAAGAGAAATAATGGCAGTCTTCTTCAAAGTGGGCTTTGAAGGGCCACCACAGCCAGACCCCTGCCAAGTGAACAGCAAGATTCCCAGCACCTCTAAAGCTGTCAGGGTAATTCTCCGGGCCCTGACATTTAGTTTCTGCATAGACCTTGCTTGCACACAGCTTTACAGGCCTACTGGAGGAACCCCACCCCCCCCCCCCCCCCCCCCCGCCAACACACACACACACACACACACACACATGCGCGCGCGCGCGCTTTTGAGACAGAGTCTTTCTATTATGTAGCTCTGGCTGTCCTGGAACTTGCTATGTAGACAAGGCTAGCCTCGAACTCACAGAGATCCACCTGCCTCTGTCTCCCAAGTGCTGGGATAAAAGGATCGTGCCACCACACAGGCCTCTTCCCTGCTTTATAAGTTACAGATTAAGCTCATCAATGATAAGCCCTTGGAGAAATAGAAAATCTTTTAGAATCAACCCAATCCATTGGCATTCTATGTACCTGATTAGATCTATGGTCAGCAAAGAACCTTGTGATCTAACAGTGCAGATGCAGCCAGCTACAGTGAAGCCCTCACACTGAGGACCCTGCGGTCAACTGGAAAGAAGTACAGAGGGACCCAGGCTCCAACCAAGACCTACTGAGTGCTCAGTCATGCCTGTGTGTATTCACTTGGTGAGAGGCTGCCTGCCCACAGCAACAGACAAGGAAGTTGTCCACCCTTTTGGCTGGGGCTTCTTAGCTGACAATATTCTTTCCATGTGTCTAAGTTACCAACAGCCTCCATCCTCAATGATACTATATTCAAGGGATAATTCTTAGCCTTGAAACCAATCAGCAGCATTTGATCGTTTTCATGTATGTATGAATGAATGAATGAATTGTGCGTGCGCGTGTGTTTACATATGCGTGGTGGGTGCGTGCATGCCTGTGGGAGGGGTCTCTCATTCAGCAGCCCAGGCTGATCTGGAACTTATTATGTAGCTTCAAATTCATGTAAATCCCCCCGCCTTGGCCTCCTGAGAGCTGAGATGAGTGAGGTACAGGCCTGGACCAGCATCCCCAGTTTTCACTTCCTTTAGTTGAACAGTTTTTCTCATGGCTGGAGCAGGTTGCTCTTGGCCTGTTTTTCCCTTCCATGAGTCACTCTATCTCAGCCAGTTCTTTGCTTTCCTGACCTTTTAATAGTGGAATGCCCCACATTTTATGCCTCTGATCTCTTCTGTGTCTACCCATCCTTTGGTGATCTTATCTAATTCCATGGCTTCTAGAACTTAGGACTTACCACTCTTTCTCGGGCCTGCATCTCCCCTCTGAATCCCAGGCCCATAAATCTAAAGGCCAACTTGACAACCCTACACTGATATCTAATAAGCATCTTAACATGATTAAAATCAAGCTTCCACTCTCCTCTCCAACTCCTGCTTCTCTCCTGGACTGCCTTGTATTACTTGAACTGAAAACGCAGTAAGGAGTCCACATTGACTCCTTGCTTTCTTTCACATTAGTCTGCTAGTCAGTAAGCAAATTCTATTTATTGGTTATACTCCAAATATATATCAAGAAGCCCAAGTTTAAAATGGGGCTGGAGAGATGGCTCAGCTGTCTCTTGTTGAAGCCAGGTATAGTGGCATACGCCTTTAATCCCAGCACTCAGGAGGCAGAGGCAGATGGATCTCTGTGAATTCTAGACCAGCCTGGTCTACAGAGTGCGTTCCAGGACAGCTAGGACTACATAGTGAGACCCTATCTCTCAATAAAGAAAAGCACTTGCTGATCTTCTAGAAGACTCAAGTTTGGTTCCTAGAACCCACATCAGGTGGCTCACAACCATTTATAACTCCAGCTCTAAGGCATCAGATGCTTCTGGCCTCCAAGAGCATGTTCACACATGTGCACACACTCACACGCAGACACACATGCCTGCCCCTACACATAATTTAAAATAATACAAATAAACCTTGGATTTTTGTTTTATTTTAAAGGAGCTGGGTGTGGCGGCACACGTGGATAATCTCAGCACTTCGGAGGTGGAGGCAGGAGGTCATCCTTGGTTACATAGTGAGTTTGAGGCTAGGCAAGGCTACATGAGATGCTATCTCAAACAAACAAATACACACATATATGTTTATATGTATGCATGTATGTATATATATATGTATATATATATACATCTATATTTTTGTGAAAATGGTGGTAAAGCTCACTGATACAGTATATGCTTAATATCCATGAGGCCCTTAATTTCCAGCACCAACAATCTAGAATCTGACTATATATTCTCTTCTCTGCTACCATCCTGATTCTAAGCCAGCACCATCCTCATATAGGTGATTGTCACCTGGATGACTAGTGTTCATATACACGCTACCTGCTAAGGGACTGTCACACACATGCTCTGTTGTCCCCAGTATGTTTCAAACACCACTGTTGTGGGGTATTCATCAAAGACTGCTCAGACATGGGATTAAGCCAATACAAAGTCTGTATTAGCCAGGAGGCGACTACACTGGGGGGTAGGGATCCCATTGTAGCCCTGAGCCTTTCTCAGGATGAGTTTTTTTTTTAAATTTCTTTATGTGAATTTAATTATCTGATTAACTATCTCCAAATACCTTTAAGTGTGACATATTAAAGTGACGAGAGTGCCATGTGAATCTTAGCAAATCAGTCTTGACTTTTCCTTATCTTTAAGATTTTGAATCAGTAAGTTAATGCATGACGTAAATGAATCATGAAAAAGATATCACAACAATTTATCCTAAGAAAATAGCTTAAGTAAACAGCATGTCTGTAGTTACCTCTTTCACAATAAAACCCATTAAGTTTCACTCTGACTTTAACAAAATCAATGGACAAAGGAAAACCTCAATTCAATTGCTCTATGTATTTATTAGCTATAATTAATGCAGTAAAAGGGGTCAAAAAGCTTTCAGGCTACATAATTTCACAAGACACATTGCAGGGAAAAGGAAAGGCTGATATTTATCAACCATATCTTAGGGTCTGGGTGGACGCATTCCTGGGGGAGGTGGGCCTCTAATTCCTGGTGGAGGGGGTCTCATTCCTGGAGGGGGCATGCCTATAGGTGTCCCTCGAGCAGGGGGAAGGCCAATTGGTGGGCCCATGGGTGGTCTCATACCAGGTGGAGGAGCCCTAATTCCTGGAGGTGGGGTTGCTCTGTCTACAGGTGGAGGTGGAGTTCCACGTCCTGGTGGGTATCGGGTTGGGGCTCCAACAATGCTGGCAGTGGCAGCAACTGCAGCAGCTGCTACAGTGCCTCTTCCTTGTGGAATCATGACCTGCTGGGATGGACCTCCAACTCCTCGGACAGGGCCTGCTAATCCAGCAGGAGCTTGGGGAATAGGTACACCAGCTGGTACTCCTCTGCCAGCTGCCCTCCCACCCCCAGGGCCACCTGCAGCGCCAGCAAGTGGCACACGAGCAATACCCAGTATCTTTAGGAGGTGGACCCTCTACAGTCATGGATACCAAGTTCTCTCCACGTAGCAAGACCAGACCCAAAACCCGTTTTTCTTCATGCTCTGGCTGTTTTGCATTCTTTGGCTTGATCTTTCTGAACTCATCACAATCACAGAGGATCAAATTCATATGCTTGTCAAAAGCCTTAAAGGTGCCAATGAAGATTCTTCCATCTTGCAGGATACATCTCATTCTATAGTCAATGTGCTGCAGCATCTTGCTACTCTTACCCACAGTCATGATTGCTATTCCACAATAGCCGTTTCAACAGTAAAATATCAAGATCCTTAATACTTAGGGGAGGGCTATAAATAAATAAAGGTGTGGATGCAGGTTCTTAGACACAATGTAAGCTGGACTGACGCTTCAGACAATGGATGGGTCCATATGTCTCCATCTCCATCCAGATCCAGGGGATCCTGATGCCCTCTCAGGCCTCTGCAGTTTCCTGTTTTCCTTGATTTCCACCACCTTGATGTTTCAATACTACTTTAACCACTTCTTGGTGTCTCAGCTAAGAACGCCTGTCTCAGTTCTGCCTGGAAATCCACCACAGGAACTTGCTGCAGCTGCTGCTGAGAACGTCGTAGGTACAGGTGACACTCTTGGTTGCTCAGTGAGGCAGTCCTTCTACGTTTGACCTGTACTTCTACCTCTGGTACGTGCTGTTCAGTAGTTCTTCTCAGGTGTAAGCGATCCCTGGGAGGCAGATAAGGGAGGTCTCACAGGATCCTGAGGTGTGGATCTAGACAGAGGTTCCAGGCAAGCAAGTGTCTAAAGAGCTAAGGAGGTGTTTGGGGAGGTGCAGACTAGCTGTCTGTCTCATTAGGGTCAGGATGAGTTTTTAAGCACAAAAACTATGTCCTGGGTTGACATACTTTAGTTAACAAGAACAGTTAGCCAGAAGTGGAACTACAGAATCCAAAAAGCAAGGTTAGTACATTTAGAGACTTTCCCAGAACTATGGGCTTTGGTGGATTAGGTCTTTGTTTTAGTTTTGGCAGGTGATATTGTTTACATGTTGAATTTTACAGCCCGCATGGCACTTCCATCTTGGAGTCAGTTGTGCTAAGGTCTGGGGCCCTGTTACATCAACAGCCAAAATGATCATGGGACACATGCAAATGAGATCAGGTTACTCTTCTGCTCAAATTCTGTGTTGGTTCCTGTCTCTAAGAGAAAGTCAAAATTCTTACAGTGACCTTCAAAGCCTCACTAATCTGCCCCTGACCCATTATGTTCCTAAGCTCCTTGCTAACTAAATCACCTGTCCCACCCCCATATATCTTACTATGGACTGGAAACTGGCCTCCTTGCTGTTCTTTGACTGTGCCCGGCACACACCTACCACAGGACCTTTGCACTAGCTGTTGCCTTGGCTTGGAATGCTCTTATTCCCGAATCCTAATGACTTGACTTAACCTCTCACAAGCCCTAGCTCGGATGTTGTCACCTTTTGCTTTCCCTGGCCATTTGCTATATTACCTACTGCCCTTTCTGATTTGTTTCAGACCTTAATCACCATTTAAATGTAATGCCTTCATCATTTATACTGACAATTCCCTGTCTCTTTCACTAAATTGTAAACTCTGTGGCTCATAGATTTGTCTCTTTGGCTCCCAGTTTATTCCCATCTCCTATACTAGTTCCTAATATACAGAAACCACTCCAGAAATGAGCGTTGCCAGGCAGTGGTGGCAGGTAAAACAATTTGAAAGAATGGAGAATTAGAAAACAGCAGACATTTTGCTCTTCTTCTCCATGTAGAAACTTTGAGTAAGCACACATAGTCTTGGATCACATATTCCCAAGCCAATATAAAACTAATTTGCAATTGTTTTATAATCTTACCCTTTCTAATATAGTTATCTTTCAAATATTCAATAGCATTGTCACAGAAATAAATGAAGAACAGCAAAAATGAAAATTCCTGAACTAGGCCGGGCGGTGGTGGCGCACGCCTTTAATCCCAGCACTCGGGAGGCAGAGGCAGGCGGATCTCTGTGAGTTTGAGGCCAGCCTGGTCTCCAA